CGACAAACACAGGGACTTGGTGCATATAAGGATGGCGACCCAAAAATAAATAATGGAAAGATATTATAATCGAAGAGTCAATCTTCATTATTTCAAAGTGGGAGACTTGGTTTTAAGGAAAGTGACTCAAAATACTCGAGAGCTCAATGCAGGAAAGTAGGGTCCAATGTGGGAAGGCGCCTACTGGGTTTCAGCTGTCACCGGGAAAGGATCATATGAACTGAAAAATCAATACGAAGTAAAATTGTCGAGCAACTGGAATGTGGCACACCTCAAAAGGTATTATTGCTGAGGAACATTGCCTATACAGAAAGTATGTGCTGCACTGTTTTCCATTCATCTAGTTTTTGTCCCAATTGGGTTTTTCTGGCAAGGTTTTTAACGAGGCAGCAACAGAAAGCATACTACGAAGGAAGCACCATAAGCAGAAATAATTCCTTTAAACGATAAGGCATGGAAACAATGAACCACTACGAGACGATTTGATATAATCTTTTGCTCGGTAGCAAAGTTCCTACCGGGAAATAAAGCTTGCTATCGGACCAAAGATTATCCGACCGCTCACGAGTACAAGCCACTGGGGGTGGTTGGATAATCTTTGGCTCTATAACAAAGTTCTTAACGGGAAATGAAGCTTGCTATCGGACCAAAGATTATCCAACCATTCGCTAGTGGGATCGTCAAAGGAACAAGACTTCCAGTGTTCAAATTCCCATTCTTCGCATTTGAACAATGGGGGGAATGATATGAGAATATGGCAACATGACTGCCACATAAACCGGGATTACGAAATTTGAGGATAAAGATATATCATCGGGACCGGGGACTGCACGGCTAGCCCCGTAGAAACAAGTTGTACAAATTAGCCATAAGTAATGACAATTTCTTTTCAGCATAACGAATGCTTATGTACTTTTGAAAATGAAAGGAATAAAGTAAAGTCCTTTTATTTTTATCTTGTTTCTTGCCAAACGATGAATTAATTTTATCATTTGAAAGTTAATCAAGTACAATAAATGCTAGTGCTGGAATGAATAGGATATGTCCTCTTCAAGAGCAATGTAAACATAAAAGTGCCTTGTCTTATGAAACCCTCACAGCAAAGGGTTGGTTCCAGAAGAATTTATGCCCGAAATCCAAATACTAACGGGGGAAAATGCACCCAAAGCCTTGCATAACTCGACGCAAAAAAGAATAGATGCTTAAACGAAAAAAACACTTTTATATAACAAACGTGCCAAGCAGCACAAGTACAAAAGTATGAAACAAAAAACAAAGGGGAAAAAAAGCAAAAAACTAAACTACTGCGCCTAGAACCCGAGGGAAAAGAAGCGTTTGCGCCCCTAGGAGGAGTAGGTGGATCTGCCACCGGATAGGGATCTTGACCTTCATCATTATCCCTTTCAATTTCTTCCTCAGTTCCCGAGAACTCAGAACCGGAACCAGAGGAGTCAGTTGCATCAGGTTGAACCGGGAGGCCCGTTCGGGCAATTGACTCCAGCTCACGGGCATTGGCGATCTCGGAATCAAAATCAATGATGCCCGCTTTGGCCTCCTCCAAGGTTTTTCTCCTCATGTTATACATAGAATATATTTTTTCAACTATGAGGGAATCAGCTCGGCGCTGAAGTTCTGACTTAAGCTGATCAACCTCGGTCGAAAGGCTATTCCGCTCGGATCTTGTGGCCTGAAGGCTGAGATCAAGGTCACGGATAGTGGAGTTATAAACTCTATTATGCTCCATGACCCTCTTATACTTCTCTTCCATCTGGGGCACGCTTTTCCTCAGTAACAGCAGCTTCTTCAGCTTTGGAATTCAAGGTTGCCTCCAAATTATTCAACCTCTCAGTAGAGGCATCCTCACGCTCGGCAGCAGCAAGAACAACATTTTGAACCTCAGACCATTTTTCCTTGACCTCTTGAAATTGTACCTTTAACAGGGCGGCCTCTTGGATGAGGGTCACTACTTCTTGCTCAATCTGCTGCAACTGAGCCTCTAACTCAACGACTTCGGCAGCTTATGCTTCCAGTGTCGGGAGGTGGGTAACAATTTGATCCCGCTTTACCAACAGTTGATCCCGCTAAGCCAAAAGTTGATCCCGCTCGGATATAAGTTTTTTTTTATCGAGGATAAACTTCTAAAGGCCCTCGGAAGCAAGGAAGTTAGCCTGCAAAGCAAAAACTCAAATCAGAAATCCTGTCATAACAAGACAAGAAGAAGAAATAGAAGGAACAAATATCATACCATTGCTGCTTTGTGCATGACGTTGTTTACCATATACTCCCCCGAAAGAGAGTGTATTTTCTTCTTATCTTTCTCTGAAGCCAGCGACTTCATGTAATTGGCAAGTTCCACCGGCCCGGACAGCAGATCGCACTCTGTAGAGACCGAGAGGGAGACGCTCCTCCTCCTCTGAGGATCTACAGAAGGGGGTGAATAGTTATACCTCAAATTCCCATGGTCTATGGGCTGGGGAGGGGAAACATCCTCCTCCCGGGTGTCTGCGGCCGGTGGGGATGATGTAGAAGTTGCTGGTGGTGAATGCATGATTGGCGAAGAAGGAGATGAAGTTGATGGCATTGTGGGTTAAGAAGAAGCTGCGGCAAAACCAGTGCTAGTTATTGGTTGCTCATCAACAGAAAATGGAAGAGGTCTGGTACACAACCTCACAGTACCGGGAGCAGCGATTGGGGCTCAGAAGCGAGAATTGGCATCCTCCATTATAACACACTCTCCCCAGAGCCCTTGAACGTCGTCCTTGGTTGGTGTTATTAGCTCTTCTTGAGCATTCTGTTGAGCTGATGAAGGTCGTCGTCTCCTCTGTGGGGAAGCCCCTTCATCACTGGTTCCCTCGTCATCGTCCATCACCACAGTGGCTGCGGCTGGCTCGGGTGCAGCATTCTTTACCCTTTTATTTTTACCCTCCGCCGTAGAGGAACATAGCCTTTTTGTTGCTTGTTCTCCAGACGGGGACTTAAAGAGGAAGCACCTACACCGAAAACAGGTCCGATGGCGCCCGTTCGGGTGAAAGCCTCCTACAACAACCTCGTCGCATCTGCGAGATCAGCCAAAACGTCCTCCTCGGGGACGGTAATAGAGCCCTGCGGGAGACCTGAATTCAACGAAAAGAGATGTTAGCCAATTTTCTTATACGTGAGGTAAAAACAAGGTTAGTTCGAGAATCAACTTACCATGATTTTTGGCCTTCCACCCGTATTTGAGGGCCAGTTCTTTCCACCGGCGGGTCTCAGGCGTGGCAATATCTAAAATCTTCTGGACCCACTGGTCCAAGCCTTCAACCCTTGGTGGTATCCACCGAGTTGCTGAAATAATGCAAAGAGAAGGATCAGTAACAGCATGAAACAACCTTTAATTAGAGAAAAGGAAAATGTTGAACTTACGTGTACGACTCCATGACTCAGGGAAGGATGGAATTGTGGCCGGGATGATATCCATGGTGGCAACTACATTGAATCGCTCCATCCAACCACGATCATTATCATCATCCATGTTGTTGAGCAAAGCATGGTGACCACGTTTGCTAAAGTTTATCACTCCCCTACGAAAAATTTTGGGAGAGTAAAGGTTCATCATTCGATCCAGGGAGATTTCTTCCCCCGTCTCCTAGCATAGCCGCCGAACAGCCTACCGTCCGTCACACATAAGGGCTCACATGTGCCGAGAAGACTTGATAACGGAAGCAAAACTCCAAGATTACGGGGTTAAGTCCCCCGCTCAATAAGAATGGGCCGAAAGTGGAGGGGTACGTGTAAATGTACGTAAAACACTTCTTAGGGAAAGGTACTCGCTCCGCCAGATCGGGAGCGATGATGTTCAAATCATAGCAACCACAGTCTTCTTTCACAGCAGGAATGCTACAAGGACGAATGGAAGAAGGGTACACACCAAAAGCCCATGTGCGGGAGTTAGCAGAAGAAAACTTCTCTTCAAAGTTCTTGGCTGTGTTAAGCCTTCTGGGAATGATAGTGCTCACTGTAGGAGGGGCAGCATCATCAGTGTTTTCTTTATTTTTTGAAAAGCTTGAATTCTTGGAATAGGAGGCCATGGTTAGCAAAGCTCCCTTGCCGGAAAATGAATAGCTTTGCCGGAAAATTTTCCATTGAACTTTTCTTTTTCATTTTGACCCCATATCTTCACCTTGTTCCTCAAGCTCCTTCAATATTTTCACACCCAAATGCTGACCAATCCAACCAAACTATCTATTGAAATTGTGGCCAAGTTTTGCCAAAACAAAATCAGCAAATCCAGATTGAAAATTAGCATCAAGATTTCTGTTTGTAATTTTGAACAAAAGCAAAAGAACTGAGTTAGGATTATGGGGTGTGGATTTTCATTCAACCTTTACAAAAGGTGATTTTGAGCAGCCGTTCAAGAACTTTCCTATCAATGAGATTATCATCGATGGCAAGAATATGGGCTTTTTAGAATTCATAGGTGCGCACAAATTCAAATTCCTCCATCTTATCTTCCCTCCACCTCCGTGAAAACTCACTTTGTTTCTTGCCATGTCTCCTAATCACAAGTTTCCTTTTGAACTTGAAAAACAAACTCAACCCAAAAATATGTTTTGAAAGAACAAGTGGGAAAACAGAATTCTTTCAAGTTTTTGCAACACACAATAAAAGTCATAATAATTTCTTTGTTATTTCCAGAATACTGCCTTCGGGACAATCCAAAGAATTAATATAGCAAAAATGGGTGGGAAGGGGGAAAGAAGCAACGGCGTGGGGAGGGGAGAGAAATGATTTGTCGGAGAAGAATTATATCGGGGAGGGGAGAGGGTTTTCTGCTATTTTTGTTTTCTTTTTAATTACAATTGTCACATTTAAAGACAATTACACCTGCCAGGCATCTTTGTATTTTGGCAAACGGACTTAAATGGAATGTCTAAGTGAAAAGTGTTTGACAATTTTAAGTGGTTGTCGATATATTCTACCTAAAGCAAAAGTGAAATAACAATCTATGAACTGAAAAGAAATGAACATGAATAACTAAGACTTTTATCCATTCCAAAAGATAGAAGATTGCCTTTATGGTACCAGAATGAGCAGCAATATTGCTTTAATGCAAGTTTCAACTGTGAGAACTAAAAGCTGAAAAGCCAGCTAAAAATTTAATAATGCACTCATCTAGTTCTACACTAGTCATCTTCCCTAACAAGACAGCCCCCCGCGTCAAAGTTCATCTCAACACCAACAAAAATTCCTACCAAATATTGTCATGGTGGATCACACTGAGAGCCCTTGTGGAGCAGCAGGTGCAGCTGCCTTAGGCTTTGCCTTCTCGACCACAATGGCTTGTGTTGTAAGTACCATTCCTGCAACTGATGCTGAATTCTGCAATGCACATCTTGTCACCTTGGCTGGATCGATCACTCCAGCATCAACAAGATTCTCGTATTTGTCTGTCATCGCGTTATAACCCATCTCCCATTCAGCTTCCCTTACCTTCTCCACTACTACTTCCCCTTCAATTCCAGCATTTTGGGCTATCAAAGATGCTGGTGCTACTAATGCCTGCAAGAACAAATTGGTAGTTAACAGACGAAAAGAAGTAAAATTTACATTTACTTCATATTTCTACACACGTGTTATAGAATTAGCCCCGCCACCCACCCCAAAAACAAAAATGATCCTCCCTCGGTTTCATGTTATAATTCAATCTTTCATTTTTGGTCTGTTTCGAAAATAATGACATCTTGTATCTTTGGAAACTCTTTAACCTTCAATCTTCCATTTTACCCTTATGACATGCTCTTTTGTATATAACCGCAAAAATGTCAATAGCATATTTAGGACCATAAGTTTTAGGATACTTTTGGCATGGGCCAAAAATCTAGATATAGGAGTAATCATTAATAATTGAGCCCTCTTTACCCTTTGAATGATGTCAGCTCCCAACTTTTCATCTGCATCTTCGAGCTTGTCCTTAATGGCAGGGACATAAGTTGATAGATGAACAAAGGCAGCACCACCACCAGGTACTATTCCCTCTTCGATTGCAGCAAAAGTTGCATTCTTTGCATCCTCGATGCGAAGCTTGCGGTCCTCAAGCTCAGCCTCTGTAGCAGCTCCGACCTTGATGACGGCAACACCCCCAGACAACTTGGCGATTCTCTCAGCAAGTTTCTCGGAGTCATAAACCGAGTCTGTCTCGGACAACTCCTTTTTGAGCTGAGCAATCCTAGCCTGTATCTCGTCCTTCGATGCTGCATCAGCAATGATGGTTGTTGAATCCTTGGTAATGGTCACCTTTCTGGCAATTCCAAGTGCTTCAACTGGGGTACCCTCAATGAGCAGGCCCAGGTCAGTTGCTTGGTACTCAGCCCCTGAAATAATATCACAAATCTTACAGTCAGGAAATGTTCTGCCTTATAGATGCATTTTAGCAAAGAAAACAATCATTGCATCTGTCACGAAAGAAAAGGAAAGTACAACGAACAGTGTCCCAGTTTCTACCTAAAATTAAAACAAAATAAAATAAAATATAGGAACGGATGAAATTAAGGATTCAAGGAAACAAACAAGATATAGAGTTCTTGGTTTTAGCTCAGCATTAGTCTCTCTCTCTCCCTCACTAAAACACATAAAATCTTCCTCTTTTCTATCTTTTAACGGTTATGTTTGTTTCTATCAATTTGACAATCTAAACATCTAAATATGATAAGTGTGAATACTTGTTGAACAAGCTCTTCTAACTTATGTAAGACACAGAACAAATGGGAACCTGGAAACTAGTATACTCTCCATTATCATCAATATTTTATTTGAAGAGAAAGCTGAAGTTAAGTGAGTAGAGAAACCTGTCACAATGGCAATATCTTGCAGAAGAGCCTTCCTCCTTTCACCAAATCCAGGAGCTTTGATGGCGGCAACATTCAGTATACCCCGCAGCTTGTTCACGACAAGAGTAGCCAGAGCTTCCCCGGTGACATCCTCAGCAATAATGAGCAGAGGAGAGCGTAACTGAGTTGTCTTTTCCAATAGGGGGATAATATCCTTGATAGCCGAGATCTTCTGATCCGTAACTAAGACTCTAGCATTCTCAAACTCAACAATTAATTTCTCAGGGTTGGTGACAAATTGTGGGGAAATATATCCTCTATCAATCTGCAAGGAATGAAGCAAAAAATGTCAACAAAAACAACACTAAACCCACTGTCAGTAACAGACACTACAGAGAATATAGCATATTTGTTACATAGATACAAACCTCCATTCCTTCTTCAACATGAACAGTTGTCTCAAAGGAGGAGGATGACTCGATGGACAACACACCATCTGGACCGACTTTGTCAATTGCATCCGCAATCATGGTGCCAATGCTTTCATCATTTCCAGCAGAGATCGAAGCAATAGCTGGTCGAACAAAACAAATCGACAGACTAATCATTAGCATCATACACAGATGAATGATGGATAGTCTCTCAAAGAAAAGCATTAAAACATTACCTTTGATGTCATCACGACCTTTAACAGGTCTAGCCTTCTTTTCTAGCTCTTCAATCAAACCCAGTACAGTCTTGTCAATGCCCTTCTTCAAAGACACTGGATTTGCACCAGATGTAACACTCAATAGACCAAGTTTAATGATTTCGCGAGCAAGAACAGATGCAGTCGTGGTTCCATCACCGGCTGAATCGTTAGTTTTGCTTGCAACCTTCAAAGTATGCATTTCAAAGTTATTAAAAAAGAAATCAAGGAAATAAATTCAACAGTATGTAGCAAATCATGTACTAGAGGAAAGCGTATGCGGGGCAAAACCACTATGATCTTAAGTAAAAGAATTGACATAACAACCAACCTCCCTGATAAGGGCAGCGCCAGCATTTTCCATAGCATCAGGTAGCTCTATAGCACGAGCAATTGTAACTCCGTCATTAACCACCTTTGGGGTGCCATATTCATCCAACACTACATTCCTCCCTGTAGGAGAGTAAAATGTCTTCAGGAATTGCATTTATTTAGCACCAAGCATACAAAAGTATACTAACGGACTTAATCAAACAAGTGGATGAATATTGAAGATCCAAATCCCATCACATGAAATTGCAGTCCATGCTAGTTAAATCAAAGCTAGCAGAAACAGAAGATAAAGAATAGCATTCAAAAAATGTTCCAATAATATCTTGTATTGTACCACTTGGAGCAGGGAAATTCAGACATAACACACTAATGCTAGGCATAAGTCGGGCATTTTACCAAGAATTATCAGTAAAAGTTCATAAAAAATAAAATAAGTTTCTCCGCTTCACCTTCAACTGCACTAAGAATTCTTCTAAGGAATGAAACAACATTTTCCTTTAATTCTGCCGTGCCTGACAATATCATATGCCTCAAACTTATCTACTTTGGACCTACGAAATCGGAACGACATAACTAAAACATCCAAAGGGAGCTAAAATGTTGCTCCACAAAAACTTTCAGGCCACCAGTTTTCTTCAATTCCAAGTATAAATTAAAAACTGACTAGAATTATGAGTATTTGTCATTCAAATATGTAACAGAACCCAAATATTGGTACTACAAAATATTGAAAAGACGAATAGGAAAGAGCAAACATTTACCCCTGGGACCAAGAGTGAGACCGACAGCATCAGCGAGCTTATCGATACCAGCCTGAAGGGCACTCCTAGATTTCTGGTCAAAGGCAATTTCTTTAGCACATGCCTTGACTACAAACCGGTTGTTCTTTGCATTTCTGTTGCTGAATTTATGTCCCTGCAATTGGTTGACCCTCCTGTTCTTCAATGCCCCCTGCATCGAACATCCAAATAAATAAACAGCAAATAAGCATATCCCAAAATTTAACACACAGTAGCTATAATGACTCAAAACTAGGAAGACCTATAATACAAATAACTCACATAGTAGCCAAAAGGACTCAAAGCAAAATCGCCCATACAAAAAGCAATTGTAAAAAGAACATCGATAGTAGCACCTAAGACTTAAAACAAGATGACCCTTATAAATAAATGGTACAATGAACTCTTAAACACGAATACAATAATCCATTTCAAGAAAGAATTGAACTTATATACACCAATAGTATAAAGAAATTATACACTATCAGGTCACCAAAAGATATTTTCAAGCAACCTTCCATAAAAAGTGTGGATTTGTATCATTGAATTTGTAATTTGTAACCTTTACCTGATAGTGTAAAATTCTTTACACCGTCGATTGATACTAGTAAACTCACCGGTATAAAGAGCACTTAATAATAGTAAGAAATACTCAAAATAACATGACCCATAAGAAGAAATGGCACAAACAACACACACAGTATCGAACAAAACTCAAAACAACAAGACCCATATAAAGAAATGATACAAACAAGAAATAGTAGCAAAGAAGGAACCTGTTTAGAAGGAGAAGGGATGATAGAGGCAGTGGAGATAGCATTAGCAGAAGCCATTAGAGGGTTTTAGGGGAGCTGCTGCTGCTGCTGCTGCTTTGGGGAAGAAAGTCTTTGTTTTTGTGAGAGGATAAGGGGATTGGGTGGGTTTGGAGTGAAGAGTAAGAGAAGTTTGGTGAAGTATACGAAGAGAGAGTAGCTAGGGCTTAATATTGTTGTAATTTTGGAAGTATTATTGAGCAGTGAGTGAGGAGTTTCTAGAAGATTCTATCCGTTCCAGAACCGTTGAGAGAAAGCTAAGGGTAATTTAATTGTTTGCATCTCTTGGGCAAGACTTTGGATATTTAAGAAGAATTACCCAAATAGCCTCACGTTAAATCGCTTAAACTAAAAATAATCCATAGAAGTATAATTATATATAATAAATATATAATTTATGTATATGGGTAGTGATACCATATCGCCACTCGAAAAGTCTGCTACTTAGGAGTTAGCTAATGTGTTCTGAATTTTAGTTTTTTAGTTCAATTTTGTGAAATATTAATATCCTAAATTGTCCTGAAATTAAGATTTTTTGTTCAAATTTTTCAGGATAAAATAAGTAGTGATAAATCCCTAAATAGAAGCACTAAGAATGACTATTAGTAAAAGACACTTTTCTTTCTCAGGCTTTAATTTGGGCTACTTTAATCAATGGGCAGCCTAATCCTCTAATGTTTGTTGATATTGGTCCATATTTGATAGTGATAAAGCCCATTGTTATGACTCATGTTGAGCAGCTCATTTTATGGAGGAATCCCATGTTGAAGAACCTAATACTTTAAATTTTTGTGTTGACTAATCTTAGAGTACGCGTGTAACTTGTCTCAATGAATTACATATTTTATAGTGAAAATTATGTTCGAGTTAAAAATATAAAATTTTACAAAAAAAATCTTGAAAATGATAATTGTTGATCCTATTTAGCCAATTACTCGAGAAAGAAGAAATTCTACCCATAGAAGTTCTCAATTACTATATTCAACTTAATATTTTTTCAGTTTTACAATTTTATTATTTTAGTTTCACAAGTTGTCGTACTTTATTTTTAGTTGCAACAAGAACATATAACCTTTGGAGATTTAAGAGTTAACTAAGAAAAATTAGAAAGTTATATATTCCCAAGTTTATTCTGGAAGACACAAGTTAACTGAAATAAGAGGTCTATTCAAACTGTTCTTTATTTAACCAAAAAAATTATTGTAGAAATTATTCCCAAAATATTTAAAAAAATTACTATCACAAAATAGCATCCATTAATCTACTCTTTTTTTTCTAGAGAATTTTCTTTCTCCATCGAGAACCATGCATCTAGATTCTACATCAAATATTATCTTTTATTTTTACCAAGTTTTATGGACAATCAAGTGTTGTCTTTTATTAGCTCATGGTTGTCATCGCTCAATCACGTGTTTTCCACTAAGTGACTCCTTAGGGACCTTAGCATACGATCTGGGTTGTTTCCCTCTCAATTTTGGATCTTAAAATCCAAAAAATATGTTTTCACAAAAGATCTAAACCTGTATCAGGAGTTTTTCATGGGTTGGTAAGGCGAAATGAGGCAACCCAATTGTCCATAGTCGTGCATTTGTCCTTCATGCCAGCTAGCATAATATGAAAAATAAATTTCTATTATTCTTCTTAAATCCGATGCACTAAGCTTGTGTTATCCGCAGGGTCGGGGAAAGGGTCGGACCACAGAATCTATTATACACAACATTACTCTGTATTTCTGTAAGAGGTTATTTTCACGGCTCTTATAATAATCACTTATAGCTTGTTATAAATAAATTTCTATGTTTATTCTACTAATCACTTATAGCTTCTTACACATCAAACCAAAATAAATATAAAAATATACAGATCGGCTCATGAAAGTAAAAGATAATAAAATTTATTGTATATTTTTGCCCGTATAATGAATAACAAAAATAAAGAGATACAATAGAATAATACTACATTATTTATTTATTTTTAGCTAAATAGTAAATAGAATAGAAAAGGATACAGAAACTTTTTGTTCAAGTAACTCGGTATAGGTTGACAAATTTTTCATGCACAACCAAACAAAAAAAGAGAGCTATAGACCTTTTCTAGACTTTAAATATATTATGAAAAAACTTTCATGTTCAACGTTATACTTTTAAAAGGAGTTGATGAAATATATATAATATAAAATATAGGTCTTTAATATTATGAATATGAAATTAAGAAGATGAAGATAAGTTTCCCCCAAAAGTAAAAATAAAACGTAAGAAATTAACAAAAAAAAATTATATACGGAATTTTTTTATTGACTATAACTCTTTATCTAGTTCAATAAGAAAATATTTAATAACCAAAATTTTTAGTTAATTTTAAAGTGCTAGATATTAGGATAGTTAATTAAATTACAACTTTGTCTGATGTAAAACATATTTTAAAGGGTAAAAAAGGCGAACGGTATTTCACTAAGGGCATTAGTGCTTTTAATATTAGTATAAATAGAAGTTTTAGTAAATCTTCCATGTATGGGCTTCATTTATACATTTGGGGAAACTTTACAATATGGCCACTCCAAAAAATAATAACCCATAAAATATATTTTTTGTATTATAATTATTAATATACGAAAAATAATACATTATATTTTTTATATATTGATTAGCGGATGTAATTATATTTTGCCGACCGATCAAATATGTAACTTGCCCTAAACACTTCACCAACGAAATGCCAATTGCCAGGAGATGGCAACTCTTATTTTGCTGGTTAGAAAGATATCAAGGCGGATAGAGACCAGTTGTGGTTTATCCGCCGAATCTATTGAAGGCAACTTTTGAATCTTTTATTTAGATTTTAGGCACAGGTTAGCTAAATTGTTACAATTAAAATTGCAAAAGATAATTATTATTAGTCCAGATCCTACTCTGTGAGATTACACTAAGTTTATTATTATTGTTACTAGCGTGTATCCTATATCATAAGTATATAATTTTTAAAAAATTAGGTAACTATATTAAATAATTTATTTGAGTTATTGAACAAAATTAATGAAAAAGATCTGAGCTCCTAAAAAATATAAATATTGATCTAATTTAGCTGGTTCAATAAATAATTTATTTTTGTCTCATATATGCATTATTGTAATTTCTTAGAACATATGTGGATATCTTATGAAAATTATTGTTATTTTTGTTACATAATACAAAAAATAAATAACAAGTTAAAACTATAGCATAATCAGTTTTGCTCTATTTTTTTTATTTTTTTCACCGTCAATACTCTTCTTATAGAAATAAATTTATGTATATTAAGAGTTTTATCAAATTAATTTTTTTTACTTATATGATGATTTTTAAAAAGGAATTAAATTGAATTATTTTGCTAATTACTCTCTCCTTTCTAGTTTATGTGAATTTTTTTTACTTTTTAAGAGTTAATTTGACTGATCTTTAAAGCTAAATTGAATTGAATTAACTCGTTATTTTAAAGTTAACATTTAAATATTTAAAAACTATACGAGAAATACTATAAGTTGTATTTCTTCTCGTGTCAATACGATGAAAAATATTTTAAAATTTTGGTAGTTTGAATCTCAAAAAACAAAAGATTTTATATAAACTGAATTGAGGGAGTAATTAATCCAAAGACTTAATTATTTGTTCTAACTATTAAAAAGAAATAATTTTATTTTTTTTGCATTGAGGCTTCATACTTTTATAATAATATATAAAATATAAATTCTTTTTCAGCTCCTTTCCTGCTTAAATAATTTTTTTATCTTTATTATTATTTCTATAATATATTGAAATATACATTCATTAATTTAAAAAATATTTAATTAAATATAAACCTCTCACTTTTATTTAATAGTAATAATATACAAAAGCTTCCCCTTAGAATTCGAAGTGCCCTATAAGAAGAATAAATGCCAAATATTTCATTAAATTTATCGTAAGCATATGTAACCAAAAAAAAAACGTAAGACTCCTACGTAATTCTCCTATTTTCCCAAAATAATATTTTTTTGAATGTCCTGAAGATTAGGATTTTCTACGTAATTCAAATAAAGAAATATTTAATAACCAAAATGTTAGCTGATTTCAAAGCCATAAAATTTAGGAAAATAACTAAATTACGATTTTGTCTAATATAAAGTCTATTTTTAAAAAGTGAAAAAGACGAACGATATTTCGCTAAGGGCCTTCATGCTTTTAATATAGTATAGATAATTGTCATTAGTCATGCTTCTTAAGTAGTTATCACAAATGCTCCTTCGTGGTGTACTAAAGTAGGATTTAAGTTATACTCAGTGATTATAAAAGAAAATTACACTATCAATGTGTCTTAACATGTTATAGCAAGTGTGACGACACGGTCGGTCGTTTTGAGAGTTATAACCCCGATCCCCTGTCTACTGTTTCCTCGTGTCGTTTTTCTGCTTATGTGTCTTGCCGGGAGGTGTTAGTCATGGTTTTCAGAGTGTTTTGGGACAGTTTTGGGACACTTAGTCCCTAAACGGAAGCTTAAGCCTTAGGATTTGGACCGTAGTCGGAACTGTATGAAAACGACTCCGGAATGGAGTTCCGTTGGTTCCGTTAGGTGATTTTGGACGTAGGGGTGTGTCCGAATTTTATTTTGGAGTTTTGTAACTCATTCCGGCTTGAAATGCGAAAGTCGAAGTTTTGGAGATTTTAACCGGTAGTGAAATTTTCGAAATCGGGGTTGGATTTCGATTCAGAAAGTTGGAGTAGGTCCGTAAGGTTGATTATGACTTGTCTGCAAAATTTGGGGTCAATCGCACGTGGGTTGATAGGTTTCGGCATCGGTTGTCGAATTTGAAAGTTTCAAGTTCTTTAAGTTTGAATCAGACGATGATTCGTGATTTTAACATTGTTTGATGTGGTTTGAGGGTTCGACTAAGTTCGTATGGTACTTTAGGACTTGTTGATATATTTGGTTGAGGTCCTAGAGGCCTCGGGTTGATTTCGGATGGTTAACGGACCTTTTGAACTTAAGAAAAGATAGCAGATTTCTAGTGTTTTTGTTGCAGACATTTCTTCATCACGTTCGCGAGAGAGGTCTCGCGATCGCGTAGGGCATCTGGGAGGCCAGCTCAAGTGTGTTCTTCGCGCTCGCGCAAAGGATCCCGCGTTCGCGAAGGTATAGTCAGTGGA